TGCCATTGTGGCCAATTTGGGACAATTAACGCGCGATATATTTCGCTCGCGCTATTGACGCGTAAGCGAAGATTTAATCCCTCTTAGAAATCGCTCCAAATTGGTTCAAGGAAGCTTATATGCCATAACTGATTCGTGAATAGGAGCAAAATTTATCACTTTGCACCTAATATGACATGTGGTGGATGTTTTTTACAAAAAAATCTCAAATTTAAAAAATATTGATTTTTTCACATTTAAATTTTCATGTATCTTCTGCTCGATAGATTTTAAAAGGCAGTCGTAACGTTCAGGGCTTCGCCCTGATACGAGCAGTTTTGTTTGATCTTTATTTAGACATCAGTTTCTGCAAAAATCAGTTCATGCCTTCCACTAATCAATTAATCTTTGGGGATCAGCGTGTACGAGCACAGAAAGTTTTCTTTAGTAAAGAAATTTTCAAAATTTGTTCTTGGTTTATTTATTTTGTTCCCTTATCGTTGACTAATAAAAAAATTATTATGAACTTCGAGAATCAGGAGTCAAATATTATGGATGTTGCATAGTATCAATTGCATTGGGCTACTGGATTTAAATCACGTAATGGGTAGTTGCGTCTAAAAGTACCATTAAACAAATATTTCTGTCTGATGACGGCTATTCAATTCTATTTGTCTTTATTCGTTGATTAAAATAAAAGTTTATCTTTTTCATCTTGTTGTTTTTACAATTTCTTTTTAATGTGAGAGCCTTTAATTAACATTGCGAGGTCAAACTGTGCGGTGGATAGGCGCACAATTTTCTTTTTGTATGTTCCTGATTCCAAAGACAAGTCTGTAAACATGTTAAATTTTAGTCGAAACGATCAAAGGAAGGTAAAGAACAAAAGAATTTTTTGATGACCAGAAAGCTTCAAAAGATGCAAGCAGACCAAAAATGTTCATTAAAAATTTTTGAAACACTTTTAAATTTTTTTTTGAATTTTCTATGACAAGCATTTTTCCACAGACTTCATATATGAAATTGTATGATAAGTATTTTTCTTCTATGGATGTCACCCCGGGTACCACTTTAAAAAGTTCGGCAAAAATTTCAAATTTCAACATTCCTATGATCCTATATCAGCCCCGTATTTTATCATCAAGAGTTTCAAGATAGCAGAAAAACTATAGAAAAAAAAACATTATGCCCAGAAGAAAACTTAAAAAACCATTACGCGGCTAAATTGTGCACTGGATAGGCGCACAATTTTGTGCCTGTATGTTCGTGGAACAAAAGAAAAACAAAGGAAGCGTCCTGGTTGCCTAATCCGCATACAATGCACAAAATACACAGTATGGAGTTGTAATGAATTCTCGTTGTAACAATTTGGTGCATATTGGTTTCATTTGTAATGTGCCTGCGGAATACAGATTTTTTTTGAAACAGTTTGTAGGTTTTTCTGTTTCTGTTCCTCTTCCTCTGTAGATTTTTTCTGTTCCTCTTTCTGTTCCCTTTCCATCTACTGAATGTACTTGGTTAACTGCTTCAAGTTTTAAAACTGAGAATTATAATGTGATTGTTTTGTTTGGGAAATAGTTTTCCGAGGCATCTATTTTTAGATTGCTTGATGTGCTGCTGAACGGTTAAAAAAATATAATGTGCTCTGTTTCTGATTATAGTTAGATTTGTCTTGATGCGTTTAGATTTTGTTTTTGCCATCACTTCAGTTGAAATAAAACAAGGCCCTTATTTTAATGTTTTCCAGGGTCTTTGTTTGTAATTGATATTTTCCTCTGATAATTTTGGATCGGCTAGGAGTTCTTCTTTTTCGTTAAATGGAACAGAATGAGCGTGTGCTTTTAATGAGCAAAATATTCATAAGAAACCCTATGTTGTTTTTTGTATCCTGATATATTCGTCCGATTAGAAAAATATCTTCAATAAAAGAGCTTTTTTTTATCAATGGGAATATCTATCTGCCTATAATATCATTTAGTGGTTTGATTTTTTTGTATCCGCCGGAAATGTACTTAAGCTTTTATTATTGAAAAGTTCCCATCGGTTTAAGTAGTTTTGTATCAACAACTTTGACCGCATATTAATGTACCGTCGCTGATTTAACTTCTAATTGTGGTGATGATTCGTACTTGGCGAGGAGGGTTTGTTTGATCCGTGGTTTTTTCATTGTGATTTTTCTAGGAACCTTTTTGTGGGAGCTTCTCCCCGAGTCGAGATTTTTCACCTAATTTGAAGCAAGATTTGAGCGGTTTGAGCGGTTTTTTAGACAATTACGCTCAAAATCTTGCTTCAAAATGAGCGGTTTGAGCGGTTTTTGAACGGTTTATCTGAAAAAACCGCGCAAGATTTGAACGGTTTTGAGCGGTTTAACGAAAAAAAATCGCTCAAAAATTGCGCAAGATTATGGAAATTGTATGATAACCATTTTTTTTTCAAAAAAATTAAACGTCGTGATTTTTCATCACCCGACTGTTGTATTTGGTTCAAATAGCCGGAGAAACTAGATTGAATCTTTTTTCAATGGTTTTTTGAAAATGTATGAAAATTGTATGATTAGCATTTTTCCATACATTTGATGCAGGCAATTGTATGATAAGCTTTTTCAGTGTGTAGAAATGTAAGACAAGCATTTTCGGTTTATGGAGGTCAACCCGGGATCACATTACCTTTCCAGGCCTTTTTGTTGGTTTTAATCGGTTTTCTTTATAAGACCGCTCAAAAACCGCTTAAAAACCGCTTAAATCTTGCTTGAAAAACCGTTCAAAAATCACCGCAAGAAATGAGCGGTTTTTTAGCGGTTTTTCAAGCAAGATTTGAGTGGTTTGAGCGGTTTTTCCAAAAAAAAAAACGCCCAAACCGCTCAAACCGCTCAAATATTGCTGAAAAACCGCGCAAAACGCTCAATATATATATATATATATATATATATATATATATATATATATATATATCTTGAACGGTTTTTGAGCGGGATCTCGACCCGGGTCTTGCAACTGCTTCGTGATTTTTTTCGTGTTAACCCGCGGTTCAAACAAAAAATAGGTTTGGGGATGTCCTCAAAAATATTCGATATCTTTGCGCTCTGTGATTTAGATTATTTTTAAGTGAAAACTTAAGCTTTGAATTTTTTTATTATATAATAGGTGGTAGTTTTGAGAGTAGAATGACGATTATTTGATTCGCTATGGATATAATTTTTGTATTTTTTGGTTATTTTTTTTCTTTAATAAATATCTTGGAGTATTTATTATTCGGATAAGAAACAAGAAACAATTTTAAAGATATCTAGGAATCTCAATTGTTTTAATTATTTAAAAAGATTTTGTTGTTGCGTTGGCCATTCAAAAGAAATTTATTGGTTTTTTTTATCATTTTAGTTGTTAATTTTTTGATGGCGATATGATTTAATTTTGTTCCACATTAGCTGTTAACGTGTGTGAAATTGATTTTACAGAACAAACTAACGTTCATTTGGAATTTCTAAATTTAAATTAAAAATTTTCAAGTCACAATTGTATAAACTGTGTATTTTCTTTTGAGTAATTGTAGAAAAATTTTATAATTGTTAAAAACTTTTGATTTCTAATTGGATCACATTCTTTTTTGCGAAATTTTTTTTAGCCCTTTCTTCCCGAGATGATCAAAAATGCTTTTCATACAATTCTCATAAATAGGAAATCTCTGGTCATACAGTTCCCTACAAGTGCATACGTACAGAAAATTGTATGAAATATCTGTAATAAACTTTTCTCCATTAATGGAATTTGTATGATAGGTGTTTTTTTCATAAAACAAAAAGTTGTTTTTGTTTCTAAAACTATTTCTGATAAATATTGGTTTGTGTTTGGAACACAACACAAGTGACAATAATCTTGGTTACTCAAAGCACCAAAATTTGGACGGTCTTGCAATTACATTGCATAGAGAAAGAACTGAATTGTCATCGAGCTGTTTTTCACAAATGATATAACAAAAGTGACAAACTTTTAATTTTTGGCAAAATTTTCCAATGATGATTATTTTAAATTTTTGATTTTTCAAATTATCAGGCATTGATCAAGACACAAAGATTCCATACAAAAAAAATAAGAGTCTTCAGCACTTTTGAAAAAATTGTTCAGGCGAAAAGTCAAAAAAAAAATTCAACATTAGTGTATCCAGGACACAAAAAGTTAAGTTTTGCAAGCAAAAAAGTTTTTTGAGAATGTTAGTTTGATCACAAAGTTCTATTTGCTGTTAAAAAACAAAAAAGTTGGGGCAATTTCAAAAAAAAAAATCAAAAAAATGTTGCCATCAAAAAAATGCTAGTCATGCAATTTCCATATATGGAAATTGTATGATAAGCATTTTTTCAAAACAAAAAAAACCTCGGTTTTTTCATCACCAGACTGTTTTATTAGAATCAAACAGCCGCAGAAAAGAGTTTCTATCTTTTTTCAACCACTTTTCGAAATTGTATGAAAATTGTATGACAAGCCTTTTTCCACGCATTGGATGTATGGAATTGTATGGTAAGCATTTTCGGTGTTTGGAGGTCAACCTGGGTTTTTTGTCCAAAACACTGCTTTTGATTTTAAAACTAACATCTGATTGACGCCTCTAATATTTTAGTCTTTTTAAGAAAAGTAGACCTGAGATTATTATACTGGCTTGCATGTTCACGCTAATTCGTTTTTTTATCTAATCAACTAGATGTACGCACTTGCAGGACCAAACACTTTAATGAAGTCTTATATCAGCTGCATATCTCTTCAAAACTCACCAGATTCGAGCATAAAGCTCGGTTGAAAATGCATAACCGAATGTATAGCTAAGCTAAAGTTGTACTTTCATAGCTTATTCAGACTTCGTGCCAAAAACTGATAATGTTGGATTGGAACATTTGGTTCTTGAGAATTATCGATAGATTCTACCTTTAACAAAGCAAAAAACATGCATGAACTCATGGGTAAAAATTAGTTTTATCGTGTTTTGCATATAGTCAATCAACGAAAAATTTGAGCTAGATAAAACAGCCAAACAAGTTAGAACGTAGAGTATTATAACGATACAATAACACGATGTTTCTGGCTTTTTATAAAGAATGTTCATTCTCCACGTGTACAAAAAACAATGATTTCTTGCGTTCAAAAATAGTTTAGTTTTGTAATTTTTCAATTGTTGTTATCGCGAACGAGTCATCTGCAGGTAAGTCAAACAGTTTTTAATCGGCAGTTAATTGTTTTCAGACTTTGCTCAGTGGCATTCGCCGAAATTTTTTTCAGTTAGGGGGGTTGCTTTTCGGAAAATTTTGAAAATTTTGATTTAAAGAACAAATGAGGTTTCGAGCTCTTTTAAGAAAAATTGACGCGTGCTCCCTCTCAATTAATCAACCGCAATTAAAGCAAGCGGTCACCCCAACCCTCCCCCCTCCCCCTCTCGGCAAGCTATTGACTTTGCTTAAAAAAGAGGCCAAATATCGTGGAACCGTTTAAATCAAGCTTTTTAAAATGATGCGTTCCCGCACTGGAACTCCATGCGGATAATAATTGATAATACTGCCATTTTGTGACTCGCAGTTGCTTTAAAAATGTAAGAAAAAAACTCGATTTTCGGGAAATCAATTTTTGTAATCAATTATTATCGATTGCAATCCATTATCATTTTTCACTTCTAAATTTAGTTGCACGTTTTAAAACTGTTTTAAATAAAGTCAAAACTTGATCTTTGTTTTTGTTAAATAAACGTTGGACAAAATACTCGACAGAATACTGTTTTCTTGTTTTGATTTTCCTCGTGAGTGATTTTTCCCTATTTGCACTTACTTTTTTAGCTTCCCTGTTGTAATTATGGACCCCTGGGGGACTTGACCTGAAATCTGCAATTTTTGGTCAAACTGTTCTAAAATGTACATAAAATTTTTTTATCTTGGCTGGGAAACGTTGAACCTGAAATTTTTGACCTCAGCGTTTCGATAAGCCAACTTGACACTAATATAATTGTTACTTTTTGCAGTTTTGTGAGAACGAAATCAGAAGGAGAGTTCGAAGAACAGGACAGCAAATGTCAGAGAAAGATGAGGACCTAAACCTCAGCGGGGTAACAAGAAAGCAGCAAGCAGATGACAGAGATGAGGACAGAAAAGAAGATCAAGCAACAGCTCAGATACACACAGAGACTCAATTCAGTATAAAAAGTGATAAAGACCAAAAAGCTAAGCAAACATGGGTATGAACATTTTCCTTGCTTTACTTTTGTAAGTGATTTAAATTTTCAAAATCGCTAGGCTGCTAAACGAATTAGTTCAAATTAGACTTTAATCGCCGCTTATTTTTCACTAATAGTTAGGGAAATATACCAGCCAGTAGTAGCGGAATTAGGGGGGAGGGGGTTGGACGCGACACTTCGCCCCTCAGTGATTCGATCCCCGCGCCACCTCAATGATCCCCTCTTGAGACATTTTCGGTTGGCCTACTCTAAAAACTTTTTTGAGGCACCTTAGCGCCAATAGATACTATTTTTGAAGGGGATCGTGGGCTGAAACCTAAAAAAAGTCCCCAAATAGTTTTTTAAAATGTTTTCTCAAAAATTTGCCTGGGGCTCAGAAACTTCCATCAAAAAAGGATCTTAGGAGTGATTGGAAAATTGACGTGGTCGAACTAAAAAAAGTCAACTAAATTTTAAGCATGTTTTTGAAAACTGCAGAAGCAAGAAAATGATTGACATAAATCAGATTTTCAGCTCGAAACTATGCAATGAAATCACAAAAATTTTCATTTAAAATAACATTTTGAGTAAAAAATCAAGAAAGTGGTCGATCTAAATCAAACTTTGGGCCAAAAAAAAACACAAATATTCGTTAAGATTTAGGTCAATTAAAAGCCGATTGAATCATTTCTTTTACCTTAGAGTTACGATCATTTTAAATTGATTTATAATTGATTCAAATCATGACCAAATTTTATCACCTAATCTACATTTTTGTTCAAAACTAAAATTGATCGCATATTAGTCTACATACTTTTTCAAACTAAATTTGTGAATATCCATATTGTCAGTGGGGGTAGCACAATCTGATGATTTTTCTTCCGTGTCTCATTCTCTGTTTGCTCGTTTTTCAGGAACTGGAGATGAAAAGTTTTCTTGCTCAAGCCCTTAACGAGTTCCATCACCTTCTAATTTCAATTACAGAGTCGTCTTCTGATCTAATTGATGAATTCGGAAGACTTCCTTGTGTCACTACTATGGAATCACTGCTTGACATAGAGTGGATATTATATTCTTTGAATAGCCAAATTGCGCGTTTCCAACTACGCGTTCAGACTGCCAGGCAAAAGATGCAGGTAATTCATCAAGTACTCCAATTGTGCATGAAAACAAATTGAAGGTACTGCATTTACAGTCAAATCTTTAGAAGTTTTTGCAAAAATAGGTGGTAACCCAATTGCGACTTGTTCGGTTTTCTTTCATGTTTTTCATTTCACGCACACTTTATATCATTAATTTTGAATATTATTGTGAAGTATGTTTTTTTTAAATAAAAATCATAATCTATAAATAAATTAAATTTTAATTGTACACAGGCTTCTTACAGTTAGACCACTTTTAAATAACACATAATAAAGTTGGTCAACAACTAATTGCTTTTACAGTACTTTATTAAGTTTTACTAAGGCCTAGGTTATAAGAGTAAGATCAACATCCCTTTTGGACTAAGAAATCACACGAAACTAGTCTGCTGAAAGCTAGAAGCATGATGAACAGGCAATTCATGGAGTTTGAAATTACTTCATGAGTTAGCTCTCATCACGAGTCAACTCATCTGGTGAAACCAAAGAGAATAAAAAATTTAAGACCTAAGCTATTTAGCCGTAACACTGTTTGCAACACCATGTTCAATTTCCGCTAAAAAAGTAACAATAATCCTAGACAGATCCCAGAAGGAAAACTGGATAAAAAATGGAAATGCAAGCAACAGAGCAAAAGTTAGATTGACCAAAATCGAAAACACGAGGTTGCTGAATGCAAACAAATGCAAAAAATGACACGAGAACTTGCATTAAAAAATTGAGACAACAAAACAGATTTTTCTATTGAAATAAGAAAACTTCCTGAAGAATCAGTTAAGCAAATAACAGTAAGATTTGAAACCTTAGTACCATAAGCGTGTTCACTCAATTCGCACAAAAACGAAAACACAAGAATGGCAGAAGCCGGACCTACTTGATAAAATTTTTTAAAAAAAAACTAGAACAAACTTTTTTTTTGATAAAACTATCTCTCTAAAGTGTTTCTTACTAACGAATCATGATCCATAACTAACACTGACAATAATTTGTAACGCTGAAACTATTATTAGTTTCAGCAACAGAACAATTTAAATATAACTTAGAAGACATTATTTGTTCTCATTTAGAGCAGTTCCAGATCTCTAACTCGCAAATACCAGTATTCACTTGATCTATTGAGACTAGGAGATATAAGAGTAAGATTAGGATCGGTATTAGACTAAGAAGTAGCACGTACATAGCAGACGGTGTACCTTATCTGAATATACTCTATGAGTGAGCAACCTCGGACTTACACTCATCTAAGTTTGTTAGCCAAATTTGTTCGAGAACCGTGCGACCAAGGTTCTCGAACAAATTTTGCTAACAAACTTAGGTTTACCACATAAAAAAAGAATAAGATCAAAAATCATTAAAAAAATGTCAGACAGCATAGACAACCTAATAAGGACGTCTCTACGTCTCATTATGTATACTCCTTCATTTGAAACGATACGGCAAACACCAGGTCAAAACCCAAACAGCGTACCAAGCTTCTATATCGTGAAACGATTTAAACTGCAACAATTATTCCTCTTCAAAATAAAATAAAAATTACTTGGAGCTGTAAAAATCATTTCCAAGCCATATACCTCTCAATGATGTATAACTATATTAAGTACATAATAACGTCTCATAAAATTATACAAATGTTGTTCACTTTCAAAAAATCTGCTGTAACTCTCACATTTTTGTGAATTTAAAATTAGATTTATCATAAAATACAAACATGAGTTAGTAGTTAAATTGAAGTTGGTTTTAGTAAATTTATAAGAAATTTCTTGCTTCTCAAGGACTCGTTACCACACCCCTTTTAGCCAATTCCTCTGTGTCACTTCATTCATAACATAACCATAATCAACTAAAAATTATTATCATTTAAATTTCCAATTCTTAATCAATCTTCAATTCATGATTTTTTTTACCAAAAACTTAAAATTTAAACATAAATTTTGTCAAGGGCTATCTTTGTTTTGTAAAATGCTAAGTTTTCCCTGGAACCAGATTATCAACTCTATCCTTGGATTTTCAATTTTCAAGTTATTGATAATTTATAATTCATTTAAACACAATTTGTCATCATGGCTTTCCTTGGATTGATCAGAACATTTCTGGTCCCACCACCGCCTAATAAAAGGTGTCTAACGACCTCTAACGTTGATTCACACTCCAGCCCTTAGCAATGAACCAAGACTAAAAAAACTTTTTCAAAAAAATAACCATTTCATCTAAGATAAATAGTGAAGAAATTCGATTAGTAATCCTTCACTTGAGCCCCTCCTCTTAGTTGACCAGACTAAAATACATCATAAAGTAGATCTATGATAGTATCTAGTAATTTTACTTGTGTTATAATTAGACCTGCACCTTGAGGATTGACTTAGTATTCTTCAACCCTTGATCAAAAATCACAACCATAAGTAAGATTAGGTTAATTTCACTTAAAATATGTCTTAGCCACAGAGAAAGTATAACATCATTCTAGCGATTTGAAATACTCTCTCTCCAACCCGTCTACACACGACGACCTATGCCCTTAAATCATGAAAACGCCAAAAAAGTTGGCAGAAGTTTTGATTAAGGAAACTAAAAAAATTATCCCCCTTGAATTTGCAACAAACATTCTGAATTTATGTCAAGAGATAATCTTGAAAATAAACAAACAAAAGCACTCCAAAAATGTTTAATTAAAAACAAAAGATACGATTTTATAATTACACCGCACATACAATAGATAGGATGCATCAGTTCGATAAAACTTACCAGAAAAATGGCAATAATAGCAAAACAAAAACAAAGTATTAAACAACAAATCTCCAAAAAACGCATTGCAGTTTCCGAATCTGAAACAATTACAATTCAAGAACTTCAAAATCTTTGAGAACTAAATGTCAAAAAAGATAAACCATTTAGCGATCAAATTTTTTTTTACAAATCAGAAAGCACAAGGTCATCATCTCTCAAATTTAATACAGAATGAAAAATAAAAGCCTTCGTAAGCCAGTAAAATTTTATAATAGGAATCAACCAATAAAGTAGATTCAAAGTTAAAAATTAATTGTAATTCCACACAAAGATGGTTCAATACGGCAAACGTTTTAACATGAACGCTGTCCTTTCCTATGTCATTTACCCAAAGAGCGATTCCGCTAGAGGACAAGTACAGTTTTGCCATTTTCGCAAACTTGTTTGAAAAAAGAAATAGCCCATGTAAGCAAGAACTTCCCGAAATAAAAATTGGAAGACAAGTACACCATCACTATCTACCAGGCATTACTAATATAATTTCACATTACGGCATATTTACTATTGAAATTTTACCTTAACAATCATCAAGTCAAACACCACACAAACAGATGTTATAAAAATATAATTTTTAAAAAGTTTTACAGAAAACATTTAAAAAATATTCAATATCAAACTCACAAAGAGCAAATTCAACTTACACAAAAATTATATTCTTGCTATTATTTGTAGCTATCTATTTTTAATAGAATCAAACGAAATATATTACGTATCACCACCACAAACATCTCGAAATGCAATAGTACGACAAGAAGTCAATCTTTTCTCGCAACTTTCAGATACAATTCTTGAAACAATTTTTCATGACGAAATAGCACAAATAGTAAAAACCACCCTGCAAAGATTCCTAGCATAGTGCATAATAGATTATTTTCAACACATTTTAGATTTAATTTCACCAGCAAGAAAACGTTTTCGATCACAAACTCCAAACGATGAAACAGTTTGCCAGACGAAACAGATTATGTATGGGACCCTGAATGATCTCATATTTCGTGTTTTATTTTTGCTTACAAAATATCAAGTACACTAATTCGCAATGTCTCTGTACACAATGAATATTCAAAAAAATTCCGCTGACAACTGATACAGCACCCTTAAATTATAACATAATATTCAATGATAGGACAAGTAATAAGAATTGAAATTCAACATTTATAAGCACACAAGAAATCCGTACTGGAACTAGAAATCTGAACACCGAGACATTCAGACTCCATCACATTTTATAGACAAAAAATAGTATAAGCGATACTTGAAACAAAACAAGAGCATTTTTCCTATTCATCCAATACTCACAACACCACATGACAATAATACTGCTTTTCCACAAACAGCATTACAATCAACAGTAAATCCATCCTTTGTTCCAAAGTAATACCAACTGGATTATCGAACAAATAGACCAATGGCTAAAACACGACAAAACAATAAGCAAAAACAAGCTAACAGAAATAATTTTGCTAACTACGACTATGATTTTTTTCGCAAAATATAATATTATCAAACATATATCAAAATGTCTTTATACAACACGGAACCAAATTCAAGAAATTGATTACACCCAGCAGATACAAAAGCAGAATCTCAATCTGTATTTGTTAATGAAAAACAAAAATTCCGTCAGAGCGTACTGAAAATTATCAATTTTTTCAACAAAATAAAACTACAACAAACAGACAATTTACGAGAAGTCAACCACTTTATTCTGAGAATGAAAAAATTTCAACCAAAAATGATAAAAAAATAACAAACAAAAAGTGGTACATATATGACCAACCAGATGATACTCATCAATCAGACATTTTGATCCTCACATAAATTCAGAACAAACACGACAAATGAAACGCCATTTTTCTCAACAACAAAACTTAGCATAACCAAGAAACAAAAAGCAAACACAAAACCACACATATACCCAAGGTAACGAATCAAAACCAATGCAAAACGAAATCCTATAACCTTATTACTTACAACAACATGAAATCACAAAAACACAAATTACAAATTTTGCACAAACACCAAACACAGCACAATCATTTCAAATGACAATGAATCTATACGTTATGG